TCATTTCCATCTCCTCTTACTTGCATCCATTATGAGTTTGTATATCAAGTAATGAAACATCCACAGAAACTAGCAGTCGAACTTGATGAACAATCATTAACATATTGTGAATTCTTGTATTATGTACAAGTATTATCTTTGCATTTAATTAAAAAATATCATGTTGTTCCAGGTGAAATTATTTGTCAATGTGTTGAGCGAAGTCTGTCACTGGTAAGTTCATTGAAAAAGTAATTGTGTAAGATAATGAAAAATTTGTTTGAACTAGGTGATTGGTATTATGGCAATTGAAATGGCTGGTGGTGTTTATTGTCCATTATCACCTCGAGATCCACAACATCGTTTGCATGCACTCACACAACAAACTCAAAGCCGTCTTGTTCTTGTTCACCATTTAACTAAGACTAAATTCGGTCATGATATTATTTCACTTGGTATTGATACAATATTAAGTATTAATGATATAGATAACAAAGATCTTTCAAATGCGGTCATGAAAGGTGAAGAGATAGCGTACATTATTTTTACTAGTGGTTCAACTGGAATACCCAAAGCGGTTTGTTTTCACTTAGTTTTCTAATTTCTAGTTTATTTTCATACTCTTTCATAGGTTCAAGTTCGACATAAGAACTTTATTCATTGTATTGATGCTTTGGCTTATACTAACTCATTCAATGAAGATGACACAGTTGTACAAATGACACGATGTTCATTTGATATTCATGTTCAAGAAATACTTGGTACATTGTTGGTAGGTGGCACGTTGATTATGCTTCATCCAGGTGGAACTGTTGATTTTGATTATTTATCCGACATCTTACTCAATAAACAGATCACATATCTACATACTGTACCAAGTTTTCTACTCAGCTTTTTCGCTTTTGTTGAACAGAATACGATCATACATACCGTGAAACATCTTCGATCACTCTGTAGCATTGGTGAGTGACTAGAATTGATTCTCATTCTTTCAGCATGTTACGTTTTCTTATTATAGGTGAAGCTTTTGCTATTCCCTTAATCGAATTGATTCTTAAAACTTGTACATCGAACTGCAATGTATGGAATTTATACGGCCCTGCTGAAACAACTTTAGTCTCTACTTTCTACAGAGTACGTTTAGTAGAGGATGCACAAAGTATTCCAATTGGCAGATCCCTTCCTAATTACCGGTGTATGATTATGAATGAATATTTACAATCATCTGTTATTAGTCAAGAGGGTGAACTATTTGTAGGTGGAGTAGGTGTGTTTGTCGGTTATCTTGGACGTGATGATTTAACTGCAAAAGCGCTTATTGAAATAGATGGTCAATTATTTTATCGAACAGGTGATCTTGTTAGAATGAATACCAATGGTCTTCTTTATTATCTAGGAAGAAAAGATTATCAAATCAAACTACATGGACAACGAATTGAACTTGGTGAAATCGAACGATGTTTACTTAACATTTCATCTATTTCTACTTGTGTTGTTGTGAAATGGAATGATGATCATCTAGTTGCTTATGTGCAATCTTCTTCTCATATCAATGAAGAACAACTACGTCAACATTGTCAATCTCATCTCCCACCACATATGATTCCATCTTTCTTTATTATAATTGACAAGTTACCTTTGAATCAAAATGGAAAAGTAGATCGAAAACTTCTTCCGACACCTCACTTCTCATCTATACATCTCACCAACAGTGTAGAACAATTACTACCAACGAATGATATTGAAGTTACTATTCATCGTATCTGGTGCGATTTACTAAAACAAAACCAAATCTCAACTGATATAAATATCTTTACTATTGGTGGTCATTCATTACTCATCATGCAACTTTTTCATCGATACAAGATCGAATTTCATTTAGAAACAAGCACTCTTTCTATTTCGAATCTATTTCAACATCCAACAATTATTCATCATGCTCAACTCATTCAACAAGCTATCAATACCATCCACACCCTGGATGATTATCCTTGGTCTTCACTACATCTCGTTCTAGCTAGAGCATCATTCGCACAAGAACGAATCTATTTAGATGAACAAATTCGCTTCTCATTCAACAAAATAACTATGAAGAATATGTATGTTATTCCACTACTTTATCGAATATCATCTACAAATGATCATATATCAGTTACTCGATTACAACATGCATTTCAAAGTGTTATCACAAAACACAATATTCTTCGAACAGCACTTTATCTTGATACAAATAACAATATTATACAACACTGTTTAGATACCGATATCATTATCAATGATAATATGAGTGAAACTATAGAAGACATATTAAATCAAGCTGATTTATTTGATTTATCAAAAGGACGTGTTATTCGTTGTCATATTCTTCGCCATTGTCATCCATCTCAAGATAATATCTTATATGAGAATGATAATCTATTGACTGACAATGATTACATATTGATTAGTGTTCATCATGCAATGTTTGATGGAGCATCATCATCAATCTTTCTTCGTGATCTTTCTCTTGCTTATCAATCTGATGACTCTTTACCTGTGGATGGTAACTCATTGGAATATATCGATTATTCTGTTCATGAACATATCATGGATATGTCATTATCTCGTGAATTCTGGCATTCTCAACTTCAAGGATATGATATCGAATGTTCATTATCATTACCAGTTGATCGACAACGTTCGTCAACTAACCAACAACGATCAGGTTTGGCATCCATAGCTGGAATCAATTTTGATAATGAATTATGCACATCATTTCTAAATTATGCATCATCACATCATCTCACACTTTTTCAACTTGGATTATCCATATTTTATGTCTTCCTGTTCAAACTGACTCATGGTGAGACTGATTTATGTATTGGTTCTATCAATGCTAATCGATACCGAAATGAATTAGTTGATATGATTGGAATGTTTGTTTCCACATTGCCATATCGTTTAGAAATTGATTCTCATTGGTCATTTGATGAAGTAGTTAAATATGTTCGAGAAAAATGTTTATCAATTCTCGAACATTCTCATTGTCCACTACAACATATTGTTGATGACAATCGATCAAATCAGTCGAATGTATCATTTCTTGAGACAATGTTTGATTTTATTACTGTGTCAAAAGATATGGGACATTTAAGTTTGAATAATGCAAATTTAGAACGAATATCATTAGAACGATCAGCTGAAGCAGCAAAATTTGACTTCTCATTAACATTTGTATACAACCCGTCATCAGATGATAATCAGATGTCTTGTCGTTTTGTTTGTTCACGTGATTTGTTTGAAAAATTAACTATTTCAAAAATAGCTCAAAGATTTCAATATATGTTTGAACAACTGTTTCAATCACAATCAAGCAACATTCCTTTGATGAATGTGAGTTCATCAATTACCAAACTATCTCTTATTCTTCCTGAAGAAGCTAAAGAAATGGACTTAGTAGTGTTTTATCGATTGGAGAATATTATGAATGAAGGTATGATTGTATGCAGCTTGTTCTATTGTTTTATAAAAGTAGTCAGTTAAATCAGTAATGAGAAATATGCGTTAAAGTGCATTATCATTGGCGAGACTAGTCCTTTTTGACTTTTAAGTAAACTAAGTACTAAGTATGTGATACGTCACTAGTTATTAGTAATAAATTGTCGAAAGTTTTGGGTGTCGAAACTAAAGTCGAAGTAAAAAAATAAAAAACTATGCAGTCGGATGTAGAATGATAGGGAAGAAGCTTTTCGGAGTCACACGTGGGTTGTTTAGTCATAAAACACCTACGTCACATAGTTCCCCATCATCAAGCATTTTTGTTTGCTTCTGTTTTCTTCCGACGTTATACATAAAGCTAATATAAAGATATGTTTGTTGTTTTTACTGATTAGATGTACGTGTGTAGATTGTAAAAACTGTCAAACATTGGCAGTATATAACCCTATGAAACTATTTAGATATCTATCAAATCATTGCATGATGCCATAAAGACGCCACATTTACATATTATAGTACAAGCTTTTATTATGCATATTCCTATTTGTTACGCACCTTATTTTATATGAATATTTCATTCAGATTATTCTCTAATACAACTACTGAGATTTTAGTTTCAGACTAATAACTAAAGCTTTCAGTGATCTAGTAATCTGTATCAGAAGAATAGAATCGCATAAACTTATTTTGACAATAATTTTTTATATGATAACTACAACGATTTCATCATGCAACCTTACATATGGGTTTTATTCGTCCAGTTTTATTGATCAGCGATTTTTTTTGTATTTGACAAAGAATTTTGTTGATGTATAGGAATCAGATACACTAAACTGATACAAAATGAATTAAGAAATAAAGTATTTCAAAAAGTTAATTTAAATACAAACAAACCAATTTTATCACTTAATTTTGCTTTAATCTGTTTAGTCTATTTGGAAATTTAGTATGAACTGTTTTAGTTAAGAGAGTAACATATTATAAGTCTCAAAAGACACTGTTTCTTCATAGTTCCTAGTTTTATGAAACAATCGATATTTGAATATGACTCAAAGATATAGCCAAGAGTAAATATCAAAAGAAAACACTTGTGAGTATCACTATTCTCAAGTCTTCTTTCAGGAATACATCGGTTTGGTCTACTTTCAAGCTCACTAGTCCCCATCAGAGTTACAACAAATTCTAATAATAAATCTCATATGTGTAGTGCAATTGTGATATCTATATCAGATGGAGAGAAACAGTTTCTAAATATTTTGTGAAATAATAGCGATGTATCATCACTATGTTGGCAAAGTTTCAGATCAGCTTATTCAATGTCATGAGAATTCTATCCTAAAAAGAAGATGATCGATTGTTTTTATTGTTTAGAAAGCAACAAGTTCATAATCATGAATTGAAACGATTTCTGTAAACATTTTATCTTTATCATAATAATCAGTCTATGGTCATTCAAATAAACATTGCAATTTCAAATATAAAAGCATTTCTCGACATAGTCTGTGACAGTTTTGCATCATTATTTTTATTAAAAGTTTGTACTATTTTAAGACTACTTCTCCGTTAGAAGTTCTGCAGAAAAGGGATTAAAAATTCTATAGATAGTCTGCACTTTTGCGACAGTGAGTGTCTTATAGGACTTTTTGTGAAGAATTAAATAGCCAATACAAAACTATCGACTTTACCCGAGATATTTTTAGTGAAAAGTGTTTTTATCGAACTTTTGTTGTAGAAGTGTGTTGGTTTTTAAATTTTGGTGAAGAAAAGACACTTGCAGTCTCTCTTTCATTAGTAAGTTTAATTACATGTTATGACTCTTGTTTGTTTTGTAAAATACAATATTAGAGTATTTTATGGCATAACTAGGATAGCGTGCTAAGTTTCCTTTCGTTCTCTTGCTCAACATGTTTATTGTGTCAGTTGACAACTATAGTTGTATCTTAAATGCATGACCATAACGATAACTTTGTAACATACGAACAATAAAAGTATAAAATAAAATGACAATGATCCCAGAGCTTTTTTCATTCGTCCGTGGTCTCGAGGTTCTCTGATTTTACAACATAATTCCTCTTTTTCAGTAGTAAGAGAATGCGGAAAAGCTCTCTCATGGTTACGTTCTCTTCTCACTAGAATTTGGACTTCCAAAACAAAGACGATTTCTATTGCAGGGTATATCAGCTTCTATCTGTTCATTTAAATTAAAAACTTTGAAAACATGAACAGGTTCATATATATATGATGAAAGGAAGTATGAAAGGAAGAAAAAGAGAAGATAAATTCAATTGCCTGATAAAGATGTCATAGCATCATAGACAAATTTATCAAATATTTGAGTGCATTTGAATTAATTAGCGGTATAACTTTGGTCCACTCAGTGAATCAGAAAGATTTATATGAAACTAACAATAATATGAACTGAGACTGTCAGGTAAGTATTCGTACTAGGAAAATACTAATGCTATCTGTTCGAATTTTACAAAACTACATGGTTCTCTTATGTTAATAATAGAAACAATAGTTCAGCATTCATATTGAATTTGTATTACCATAATGAAAATGCTGACGACTTTCATAAAAAAAACAACATTATTTTATTTCTAAAAGATGAATTCCTAACAGTGAACATTTTTACTTGTTTTTGAGAGAGCCGTTGATATTTGCATTATGTTAATGCCAGTTTAATAAGAACGCCAAATTATTGTGTTTTTTCTATAAACATTAACATAAAATTAATACATAGTACTATTAATGCGCATAAAAAGTCCCAGACCAGAATCGTTCTATCGAATTGTATAAAGGCTAATAATATTTTCCGATTTTTGAAATAGGATCCGATATCATACGATATTAGGCTTCTTATTCTAAGATATTAAAATAGTTTATATTACTGCCAACAGATAACAGTGAGCTAACACTCTTAATACAAATTCTACTCAGGTAAAAGACCGATTAAATGAATAGTAACTAGAATATTGTTATCAAGCATCATCGAGCCATACAGCTTCTACATTACAATTCACTAAGCTTTCTTTCCTCTAGCACCAGCATCATTTGCACAAGCTCGTATTTGGCTTGACGAAAGAATTCGATTCGATCCAGAGAAACCACAAGTAGCAATCTATAATATGCCTTTTGTTTATCGTCTTCAACCAGGTTATACTTTATCCATCACACAACTTCATCAGGCTCTTCATCTTACTGTCAACAAACATCCTTCACTTCATACATCACTTCATTTTGACACTCAAAAGAATCTACTTATGCAACGAGTTATTACTCATGAAGATAAAAATAATAATGATAATATGTTTTCAACCATCGAAACTACTTACGAAACAGATGAACAACTCATTGAGATTTTACACAATCAGAAACGTAATCCTCAGATTTTTGATCTTGCTCAAGGTCTTGTCTTTCGATGTCATATTATTTACTACAAACAAATCTCTTCAAATGGTCTACTTTCTGATCAGGATATGGTCATTTTCAATTTTCATCATGCTGTATTTGATTTTCCATCAATGAAAGTGTTTCTTCACGATCTCAATCAAGCATATACAACAGGTCAATTATTATATGATGACACCACTAATTTACGTTATCTCGATTGTAAATACAAATAGTTCTTATCTTTTACCTAATACATTCTTTTCTCTAATTACATAATAGATGCTGTTATCGAACAGCAAACGTCAATGACTGGAACAAGTATGTTTTGGCTTGATGTTCTTCACGATTGTAAACTCGATCAGTCTTTACCGTTACCATTTGATCGATATCGTCTCTCAAATGAACATCGAACTGGCCGTGGAACATCTATTTCTTTTGATTTTGGTCAAGATCTCTCACATGACTTTCTTATTCATGCATCATCAAATCATATATCCCTTGAACAACTTGCACTTGCTACTTATTATGTATTTTTATTTAAACTAACGAATGGAGAAAAAGATTTGTGCATTGGAATAAATACACATGGTCGATATAGAGATGAACTTAACTCTATCATTGGATTGTTTGAGAATATTATTCCATTACGATGTCAACTAGATCCTTATTGCTCTTTTCATTATCTACTTGAACAGATTCGAGAGATAACAACAAATAGTATGAAATATTCTTATTTTCCTCTCCAACGTATTCTCAATCAACATCCAGATATTTCAAAACATGCATTTCTCGATACATCGTTTGAATTCATACCATCTATGAGAAGAGATGGGGAGAATGAAATAATGATTGGTGATAGTCGATTTTCTTTAATACCTTATTCTATTAAGATTAGTGAAAATGAAATAATGAGTAAATTTGATTTCATTCTTAGTTTTCAACATGATATGAATTTAAATGGATTGTCATGCACCATTAATGCTTCACTTGATTTGTTCAGTCATGGAACAGTTTGTACCATTGCACAAAGATTACAGACAATGTTACGCCAACAATTCACATCTTTTAATAGTGAAAACAACAAGCCTATCTATGAATTATCATTAGCGTTATCAAACGAGCAGTATCTAATGCTATCATTGAATAATACACAAATATCATTTCCATCTCCTCTTACTTGCATCCATTATGAGTTTGTATATCA